CCTCTTAAATGTCACAACACCCACCAATCAGGGCGCCCTTAGTACTCTACCACCGTCCGCTGAGACCCACACATCTGCGCCCACCCACACTCCCCGCTCTGGGAACCTTCTTCTGAGACGGACTTGTAGGTTTGTTACTGGTTTGGTTTTGTCTGGCCCTTCGTTTTGTTCATTCTGTTCCGCATAAGTGAGCCCGTGTGAGCTTGTCTTTCTCCTCCGACTTTGCTTAGCACCAGCCTCCTGGGCTCCATCCATGTTGTCTGGCAAGAGTTCACGCTCTTCATCGCTTAGCAGAACCCCATTGTGTACCAGAGGCTGGGAGAGAGCACCAGGTTGGGGAGAGAGAGTGCAGAAAGGACGCTGTAGAGGCAGAATGGGGCCAGGAGGGGCTGCTCTCCACCGTCTCCATTGGGAACAGTGCGGCCGTGGGTGCACCTCATTCACCCCACTGAGCATGCGCAGAAGATACAGTCCTAGAGCTGGAGAGCTTGGGTAACACAGAGGAATGACTGTCTAATGGTGGAATTTCATTCACCTGTGACAGGCGCAGGTGAGCTATTTCTGTACTGGGGCTTGGGCTGTGTTAGCTCCTGTTAAAGAGCTGCTTGCCTCAGGCTGCCTCTCCAGCATATTTGATGCCAGGGAGTGGTACTTGTGGTTTGATAGCTTCTTATGCTCTAACGAGAAATGAGAGGCTGTACAGCAAGCAGAAAGTTGAGCTCTTAGGTCTTGACCGAGGCTCGAGGATTGGGTCCCATCTTACCTCACAGCTGGTCACCCCTCACTGGGCAATGACATGCCTGGGCCGCTCAGCAGAGTTCACCAGAAGCCCTGGTGGAAATCCTGAGAGGTTCAGGATTCAGTCCCCAAAGAAACATGGACTAGGGAGATCCTGGCCCCAGAATCATCTGTGAGAATAGAGGGAAGTTCTCTCTATTCCTGAGATACCCTGAGGATATGGTTCCTACTAATAGCGCAAGACTGATGGCTGGGTGGGCGGATAGATGGGTGGATGGCTGGGCAGGTGGATGGATGAACATGTAAATACGGAGATAGAAAGGTAGATATCAATCCGGGATAGAAAGGTAGATATCGATCAAGCATGAATTTAAATGGTTTTGGAATTGGGCTTACTCATTATGGATTTTTTAAAAAGATGTATTTATTTATGCATTCGGAACTGGGGTACAGCCAGAGGTGCAGGGACGGTGAGAGGCTTCACCAGAGACAGAGTGGGGAGCAGAACAGGCTGACTGACAAAGTACACTGCTGAGGGGAGCGGCAGGCGGGTCAGGAGAGGTCTGCTGTGCCTTGTGGGTCACCTCCTGGGCAGGGATGGAACTCATCTTAGTGTTGTGCTTAACCCACTATGCCACCAGGGAGGGCTATCATTATAGGATTTAAAATAGCTTCTTTTTCTTTTTGCAAGGAATTGTCATGCCTGAAGTAACATCTTTAATTTCCTTGATTCCCAGTGCCTGGCCTCTAGTGGGATTAACAATGTCTTCTTTGTGGCGTGTGGTAAGGAACCAATGGCTACCTGTAGGTGAACAGCCTCCCTCAGTGCCTGGTGCTCGGCAGGTGCCCATAAATGGTGGCAGTTCCTATCATCTATTATGCCAGCAGGCATACTCCCGTTGGCATAGTGAGGACACTCCTTTGGCGGGAGTCCATGAGTCTGTACTCCATGCTCCGCGTGTCCGTCTTCGGGTGGAGGACGCTGTAAGAGACATTCGTCACCTTTGTTCCCTCCCAGCATGCACAGGGTGGGGGTGAGGAGGAATCCAGATACCTGGCACACTCCCAGCATGCATTTCACAGGGAAAGAGTTTAGCTACTCCTTTCTCTAGGTCAAGAAAGCAGCATTACTACAGGAAGGATCTCGATTCACTTAAATTTATATTAAAACCTTAAATAGGGCCCTCCCTGGTGGCGCAGCGGGTTAAAGCACAGCACTAAGAGGCTTAAGCCATTTCCGCATGCATTCGATTCTCGCCTGCCCCGAGGAGATCCACATGGCGCGGCAGACCTCTCCTGACCCGCCCTCTGCTCCCCTCAGCAGTGTACCTTGTCTGTCTGCCTGTTCCACTCCCTGCTCTGTCTCTGGTGAATCCTCTCACCCTCCGCATCTCTGGCCTGTACCCGGTTCTGTATGAATAAATAAATAAATCTTATAAAAAAAAAAAAAACCTTAAATAAACAGGAAGAAAAAGGGTTACCATTCTCAGATTCAGATTTGGGTCTCTAGGCAATAATACACTTGAAAAACAGCACCCAGCTTGACCTGCTGCCTTAGGGAGCGTTTGGGAGTGGGAGGTGTTGCTGACAGTGCTCGAGGGTCTCTCACGTTAGCAAGTTTGAGCCAAGTCCATTCTCCCCTGCACATGTGAGTCATCAGAGGTGTCTGGCTGCTGTGCCCACACGGTTATGGGATGGCTCTCTCTTCTGTCTTTTCTGAGTGGCTGGCTGAAGTGCTAAGCCCTCTGCAGTGACCCTAGGACTACAGACGTCCAGGACCCGAGCTGGTGCCTTGGCTGCCTGGCCCAGAGCAGAACTGCCAGGCCCAGGGACTCCTAGTCCTGCAGACAGGCACAGACTTGACCACCAGAGCAGCTGCTTCAAGCCTCAGCGCCTTCAACAAGGGGATAGACTCCAACCTCACTCGGCCCTCCCAGCACCTCCACCCCAGCCCCAAGGGCCCGTTCTCTCCTCTGCCTACAGGGGCCACTTTGTTCCTGAGGTTAATACAGCTCTTGCTGTCAGTTTTATTGATTTATTTATTTTTATCTTAGAGCAAATTTAATTCATTTGCCAATAACATTTCCCTGAAGATCTATTATTTCTAGAAGGTAAAGATATAATTTTACAACTCCATAGTACGGGGATAATTCTAAGTTATCTACTTTAAACACTTGCTATCAGTTTTAAATATACCTCTCCCCTTCCAGGGCAATACTTTAAAACTGTGGTTTATTACAGATTTTCCACGTTTTGTTTTTTCATTAAATTGGCCATGGAGCTTACTTGGTTCTCTGTCTAGGCTAGAGCTGAAACATGCATTGTTTGCTTGGAAACTGGTTGGGTTCTTCTCTTTAAGGAGAAAAGAAATAATGGAAAATCAGGCTTGTCCAGAACCTTCACTCTGGACACTGCCCTTAAGTGTTGCTTTCATCCCCTGTGCTGTCCGTCAGTCACTCAACAAACCTTCCGAACTACTTCTGTGTTGGCACTAAGCTAGGCACATGGTACATTTAGAGGAAGACACGAGCTGTGCCTCAGAGGCCAACATATGTGGCTCTTGAGCTTCAGATGTTGCTGGCACATGGAACCTCTTGAGTTTAAAGAGTCAGCGTTAAGTCAACAACTAGGTCTCCCTCCACCCTGATTTCCTGGAGCTGTCAGAGAGCTCCGTCTCCCCTCCACCCCTGACTTCTGGAACAGAACAGCAGACACCAAAGGGCAAGCTGAGCCGCAAGTAGCCTATTGGGGACTGTACAAGCCTGGCCCCCGGGGGCGGGGACTCCTGCCTCTGCGAGGCCCCAGCCTTGACCTTTCAGCCAGCTCCCAACTGTGGCTCTTTTCTGGCTTCATCTCTGGCAGGCGGCATGAGCCTACTGTCTTGAGAGACCATGGCAGCCGCCATCTTGACCTTGAGGTGGATCCAGCTTGAATGGTAATCTTTGAACTTGGTTTTCTCTTCTCTCCCAGGCTGTTGAGCCCTGCACAGCTTCTTGCTTGTGCTTCCTGCCAGGAGGTTGCTTGTTTTCCTTCTCCTGGCCACTCTGCTTTGGGCATTTGACTGCCTGTCTGGCTGGCAGTTTGCCTACCAGGGAAGGCTGATTTCAGATTTTGACCTGGCATTCGTATCTTGAACTCCCTCTCTCCTGCTCCTTCTCTTCCTCTGCATTCCCTCCGGACCCTTCACCAATGGAAATCTCCAGTCTCGCTGGCACGCGGTTGTTCTGCCTTCCTGGGCACAGTGAGCACAGATACTTCAAGTGGGCAGCACTGGTCTTTCTGCTAAACAATTTGGGACCCCTGGACACCCTTGATTTTGCTTGGAAGCAGAGTATGAGGCCATCTCCTATATGTTTTTTTAAATAATATAATAGTTTATTTTTTCATCATTTTGTACATTTTTTTCATCATTTTGTACATTTTTTTTTATCTCAGTTGTAATCCCCGTGGGTTTCCCATCACTAAGTCCTGTGTGCCATCACCATAGTCCTGTGCCCCCCCTCCCCCCAATTTTTGATCCCATTCCCCACTCCACCCCCACAAAATGTCTCTGGTATATGGCTGTTCATTATTTTTGTTATTTTCTCGCCTGGTCCATTATACTTCTGCTATGAGCAAAACCATCCGGTATTTTTCTTCTTCTTTCTGGCTGAGGCCATCTCCTATTTTAAAGTCTACAACATTTACTCATTCACCCAAAATCTGTGTGGGGCACAATGCCTGCAGTGGGGGAGGGGGTAGCAGAATCTCTACTTTTCAGGGGCCTGATTCTGAATAACAGAAGTCAAGTGTAGACAGAAAACCTGGTCTGCTGGTTCGTTTGTCATTGCACGTGGCTTTTAACCCTTTGTTCACCTGATCCTAAATAGTTTCAGAACGCACTGTGCGTTTTCAGACTGTGGGCCTGTGCACGAGGCCTAAGGTGTGCCCCTACCCCCTAGACGCTCAGGCTTTCCCCAGGAGAGGGAGAAAGGGGGGTGCAGAGTCCCCTAGAACATCTGGTCAAAATCAGTGTCTCAAAGAACTGAGGGGGCAAAGAGGTCCGGCAGCCAGCGAGAGCCTGCTGGCTGCTTCCAAGTGGCGGGAGATTCTGAACCTGCTCTAAGCAATGGAAAGGCCTGGGGTGGAGACGGACGGCCTGGGGAGAGAATCTGCTGCCTGTCACCTGGCCTGCCCAAGGGCAAGACCGGGGACTCTGGAAGAGGCTGGTGCCTGGTGCTGACTGGGTGTCTTCAGGGCTCTAACTTGTTCCCCTTCCCCAGCTTCCCTGAGGTCCATCCGAGGACAGCCTGATGACCTTCACACTGCACCTGAGGGCCTGCCGTCCATCTGCCCTGAGAAGTTTGATTCTACAGAAGAAATCCAACATGAGAAACACGTCCAGCGTGGCTGGGGGTGAGTGGTGTTCATGTTTCAAAACAAACACGCCAACGAACTCCCCGAAAATATCCGCCGCAGGGATTTCTGAGGCTCCTGGCGTCTGCTTGGGGAACAGAGAGGACGAGCAGGATGATGCTTGCTCTGGGCACTTCCCAGGAGGGGCTGGCGCTTGGGCCCACCGGTCCAGCACCACACAGCTCTGCTCGGCCGGCCCTCAAAGCTCCGCAGGCTGCCAGGGCCCTCAGTGAGGAGGAGAAATCCCAGCCGGGAGAAGGGCCCAGCCCCAAGCTTGAACTAACCCGCTCGGGCCCCTTTTCCTCACAAGAAATGGCACGTAGCGGGAGCCTGTGACTCCTCAGGGGCGCCCAGGTCTCCCCTCAGGAGCCCACACAGACGCAACCTGTGGTGTTAGGAGTGAGGGCAGTGACTGCCCTTGTGGGTGGAGGTGAAAGAGCTTGTGGGGTCCTGATAACGCTCTGTTTAAAACCACCCACCATTTCTGCTTGATCTGGATGCTGTTTCTGGCACATTCTTTCTGGAAACCCATGTAATGTGTGCGCCGTGACACATTTCTCTGTGTGTTAGACTGCAACAAAGGTTAAGCTGAAAAGGCTCTACAAACACAGACACCTTCACCATTCACATTCAACTTTTTGAACAGTCCCTTTTATGCATTTCAACCTGAAATTTCTAGAGGTGGAAGGAATGTGTTACTCACACAAGTTCCAACCAAAATACATGAAACACGTTTTCTCATCCGGCGGTTACTTAAAAGGATCCATTTTGATGAACAAGGAGTTTGATTCAGAGGTAATCTAGGTGTGCAATCACTAGAACTTTTTGGGTCATAATTTTAAAATATTGAACTAAATTATATAAAATAAACAATTTTATACTTTTCCAACCTGAACCCAGAAGAAGCATCAAAAATGGTTTATAATTAGTTAAACCAAGCACGAAAAATATGTATTTATCAGATGGTGGGCAAAGCTCCCCATCCTTTTTTTAGATTTTCTTTTGAAGTGTAATCCACCAACCTTCTCTACATTAAAATAATAAGCACAGGGCCTCCCTGGTGGCACAAGGGGTTAAGTCTCAGCACTGTGAAACTTGGCAGCCAATGCAGCACGAGTTCCATCCCCCACCAGGGAGCTGATCTTCATGGTGCGGCAGGCCTCTCCTGCCTCCCTGCTGCTCCCCTCAGCAGTGTATTTCAGTCATCTGCCTGTTCTGCTCCCCGCTCTGTATCTGGTGAATCTCCACACCCCCCACACCTCTGGCCTGTACCCCAGCTCTTGTATGCATAAGTAAATAATTCTTTAATAAGAAAATAGATAAGAAATAAAAGAATAATTCACACATGAAAGGACTCAGCCAACAGACCCTCGCTACGCTCCTGTTCCTTCTCCCACCAAACCAGGTCTCCAAGCAGCCAGCGTGGTCATCCTGCACAAGTCTCTGGCTCCAGCCTTTGAGAGCTTCTGCCAGGCCAACCGTGGCCCTCTGCCCCTGCTGGGCCGAAGCCAGCCGGGCACGTGGACAGTGCCTGCCCCAGGCTCCAGGTAAAAGATCGGTTACCGGGGCTGCTGCTAGAGGCTGGGCTGTGCTGCCTCTGGGGGTCGGTCAGCAGGAGCTCTCTGCCCAGCCAGTCACCACAGGCTTCTGCTGGGGCACAGTCTGCTCTCCCTCCCCACCCCTGCTCCGTCCAGCCCTGGGGAAAACCTTTAGACTCGGTGGGAAAGTCCAGCCTCAGAGAAACCCCATGGGCACTGCCTTCGGGGCACCCAAGCCAGAGACCTGCCTGAGAGGAGGAAGACGAGGATAAAGTGCTTGAATTTCCCGCGCCCAGCGGCAGACATGTTAACATGGAGTCTGCCCTCCCAGACTTCAAAAACATGACACGCCCCCTCTGTGGCCCTGCTGGACGGCCCTGCTGGTTCTGCTTCCACGATAGGGCCCCCAGGAGCTGCATCTCTCTTGCCATTTGCCTCCTCTGCCTCTGGTCACAGTGACTGGTCTCCTTCCCTCCCCTACCCCTCCTCCACCCGCTACTGTCCCGCCCCCAGCGTGGCCACCTAGTCCCAGGACTAATGCTCAGACTCCCAAGGGCCTTCCCACGCCCTTCAAAGCGCCGCCAGGGGCCATGCTGACATGGGGTCTGAGCTTTCCCTTGTCCCCAGGACGGGTTGTCCCCAGTTCCGGAAGTACGAGTTTGGTGCCTGCACAGGCAGCCTCATGTCCCTGGAGGAGACGTCTGAGCAGCTGAAGGACATGGTGGTCTTTGGCCTGGGCTGCTGTGACTCCCTGGAAGGGGTCTTGGAGAAGGCGGGGCTCCCCAGGAGAGACCCAGCCGGTCATGGCCACGCAGGTGCTTACAAGGTAGGGACTCGATCCACGGGGCAGACTGAGCTGGAAATGCGATTGACGTGTCTTCCTCTGCAGTGGGGAGAGCAGTGGCCTGGGCCCCTGTTGGCCATTTCGTGGCTGTGCAAGCTGGGATAAGCAGTTAGCCTCTCTGAGCTTGTTTCCTCATCCGGACAATGGCACCACCAGCCTCTCTCCTGCCCACCCCGGACCGGGCGTGGGCAGCCAGCGTGACCTTGAGAGTGTTGCTGGAGCCCCTTTGCACAGATCTTTGTGGTGGCGTCAGCCAGACCCATTTGGAATGTGTCTGGCTCCTTCTGTAGGGAGTCTCGGCAAGATTTCTGAAAATGCTCCCTGGCTCAAACTTCCTGGCACCGGGGAGAATGTGCTTGGGGGGTCAGTGCCCAGGGATCTGAGCAGAGCCTCGCTGGACCGTCAGCTGCTGGGTCATGGCTGTGCCAGCAGTGCTGAGTCACGTTCTTGGCTGGAGGTGGCCACCCGTGGTCACCGTGTGGCCAGCCCCTCTTTGGACTTGCCGTTGTTTGGGGCTGTCTCTGAAGTTTTATTCCAGCCACACTGGTCAAGGGGAGAGACCTAGAGTCCCTCCTTCCACTGGCGCCTGCCAGAACATTTCTTTAAAGTTTGAGAATTCACCATGTGGGCCCGTGTCAGGAGCAGCTTCAGGTCTCTTTACTTACAGAGGACTTGCAGAGATTGGACACTTCGTCCAGGGCTCCCGAACATTTGTTGAAATGTGCCCAAGTGTGGGGTCCCGAGGAGACACAGGGCTCCCACTACGTGTGCCACTTCTTGTGAGAAAATGGGCCCAGGAGGGTTAGTTCAAGGTTGGGGGTTGGGAAGTGGATCCAGGCTGGGTCTGGCCAGGAACACCCCGTCTTCAGTGGCAGGTGAGAGCTGTTTTGCAATCTTTAATTTTTTTTAAAGATTTCTTTATTTATGCATACAAGAACTGGGGTGCAGGCCAGACATGTAGGGGGGTGAGGGGATTCCCCAGAAACAGAATGAGGAGCAGAAAAGGCAGATCTACTGAAACACACTGCTGAGGGGAGCGTGGGGAGGCAGGCGAGGTCTGCTGCGCCATGTGGGTCAGCTCCCTGGCCAGGGATTGAATTCGTGTTGCCTTGGCTGTGGACGGCTTCATAGTGCTGTGCTTTAAGCCCTGCGCCACCGGGAGGCCCCACAGTCTTTCATTTTAAATGAAGAACCGAAACCAGAGAGATGTGGGAATTTGCCCAAGCCCCAGAGGCTGCCTGCAACCCAATACTCAGCCTCAAATCCTCTCCGCCCAAAGTCCATCATGGAGGTGTGAGGACCAAATGGTACTTTGCCACAATTGCTGTCACTGCCCAGGGAGTGCTCAGCAGAGCCCTGTTCCCTACACGTCACGGTCCCCAGCAGCAGCCAAACAGTGTGGAGGCTCCTGGGAGGAATGGCCAGGCAGCCATCTTGGATTCAGCTGGCAGCTCTGAGGGTCTGACAGGCTCCAGAATGGGGAGAACGGCCTGTCTCCAGTGAAAGGCCCTGGCATGTCCCCCACGCCACTCCTGCGCCCCCCTGGGTACTAACAGCTAGCCCTTCAGGCAACCGCCAAGACCATCCGGGGGTTGCCTTCCTGGCCAGCACCTAAATCTTGCATAAGCCCCACTGCAGGGACCAGAAACTCATCAATGGGTGGGGGGGGAGGGAGGGGGACACAGCCATTGAGAGTCACGCAAGCCGCCCTGGGCATCTTCTGGGGAGGCTGGAGGCCTGAGGCAGGGTGAGTGAGGTCTGGCCTCCAGCCCGTGTGGACACCCAAGGCAGAGGGGACCCCGGAGCCTGTTCCCTTAGTTCCCTCTCCCAGGGCGCTTCACCTCCAGGTCTATAAAATTTAGAGTCTCCATGAAATTGCTTGGGGGGGGAGGGATGACATTTTTCCTTCCATAACTTGAGATTCAGACACTCCCTCCATGTCCAGTGCAGGCAACACCAAGAGTTACCAGCAAACTCCCTCACCTCCCCAGCGCGCACCTGAGAGCAGACGCTGTTTTCATAAAAACTGCTTGAGCCTCCTAGTCACTTGCTGCCAGCCGTCCTTGGTGCTCAGGCTTGGATCTGTGCTAATTCTGTTCTGCATTTCCCCCTTGGCTTCTCGCCAGACGACAGTGCCTTGCGCCTCCACTGCTGGCTTTGGCTGCCCCCTGGTGGTCACAATGAGGCCCGTTCCCAAGGACAAGCTGGAAAGGCTGGTGCAGTCCAGTTGCTCTGTGCAAGGAGCTCCCATTCACGTGGGCGACCCAGGTCAGTGTCCTGAGCGGCGCTGGGGCTTTGGCTTGAGAAGACGGGAACTTGCTATGTTTCCTGAGCTCCGCCCGGGGTGCTCACCTCACCCGGGGGCCCCCAGGGGGCCCTGGGCAAGGTCAACTCCACAGCATTATTAAGGCTGTGTTTGCAGACACCCCTCGGGCTGAAAGCAGCTGCCGCTGAAGGAATATCCAGCCACACCTGTTGTTTCTGTGAGCCTGGGTTGGTGAAGCTGGTGGCAGGGGGTAGCAGGGCTGTTTGCCCAGAGGTCTGAGCCCAGCGCAACCTCCAACCTAGCCTGCCGCTTGGGGGCCTATTTGGGCAGGGGCCCCAGCATATTCACTCTGTCTGAGAAGGGCAAAGAGGATGAGATGAGAGCGTTGGCTTGGGCCCCGGTGGGGGCTGGAGCTGAGTATAGCTGAGCTCACTCGACCATGTGACAAGTGGGGTCAGACAGAACCTGGCATTTTGTAAAAACACAGCCAACACATGCCACCGTCCTCACAGAAAGACAATGGCAGGCCCACCCGAAGCAGAGTGTCTTCTGGGGTGTCTTCCCTGTAGGGGGGTGGGTGTCCATCTCTGCAGTCTGGCCGAGGATGGTCAGTGACAGTGTGGGTCTGTGTTGTAGAACAGTCTGTACCTAGATAAACTCACAGGTGCTGGCTTCTTAGCCAATGTTTCCATGCAAAGAAAGTGCTGGATTGAGTGACCCAGATGCCCGTCACCCCAACAGGGTGAGAGTCCATGCTCTGAGCCCGCACGCCTCAGAGCGCACTACAGCTTCTATTCCTAGTCGCCTCCCCCCTCGGTCCCCATCACCCCTCACCACAATCCTGTGACTGCAATCCCCTTGGGGAAAGAAGTATAGCCTTCTCGGCACTTTTACCTGGAGGCAACTGCCGGCCCAAGACCCCCACGGAATTCACTTTCTCTTTCTGTCTGCAGAACTGTTGGGAATCAAAGATCTCTCCAGACCTGACTATGGAGATCCGGTGGTGTGTCAGCCCGGGGACGTCCCAGTGTTCTGGCCGTCGCAACTGACCAGTCTCGAAGCTGTCAGCAGCTGCAGTACGTCCGGGCTTGGGGGGCACTTTCTCTGACCTGGCCTGACCTCACAGCCCATTCATTCTAGCCAAACTTGCCTTTTTGAGGCATTTTGGAGACTGGTGTAACTTTGACAGCAAAGGTGTAGTCAGATAACCCAACTAACCTTTCACACCATATTTGCAAGCTTTTGAAGGCAAGATTCTCCACCTTTTTCAAAGGCCTTGTATGATATTACAATGGAGAGACACAGGCGAGCTCCCTAGTCAGCTCACTGGTCTCTGACCTGGCAGGGCACTGGAAAGCATGACTTTCAGGTGCGATGATTTAAGAAACCAAGTCACAAAATGAGCCGTCGGCCTGCAACCCGCAGTGAAGAGCCCTCTGGCTTGCTTCTTTTCATTCCAGGACCCGGTCTCCACATCAGGCCAGCTTGTCCTTCAGGTCAAATACATCTTGGTTAAACACATTTCTGCCTGCAAGACCTCACAGCCCATTCATTCTAGCCAAACTTGCCTTTTTGAGGCATTTTGGAGACTGGTATAACTTTGACAGCAAAGGTATAGTCAGATAACCCAACTAACCAAACCCTTTCACATCATACTTGCAAGCTTTTGAAGGCAAGATTCTCCACCTTTTTCAAAGGCCTTGTGTGATATTACAATGAAGAGACACAGGCGAGCTCCCTAGTCAGCTCACAGTAAGGTGAGGGTGGGACGAAAACATTAAAAATGATGGTTGCAGCCCATTTCCAGTAGACATTAGCCACATTTGCACTGTAAAAGATAGAATCTGGCGTTCCTTTGGTTTACTTTGAAATCACTCTAGGAGCTTAGCTATCAGCAGGGCCTCCTGATAGGGACAAGTTATCTCTAACAGGAAGATGGGGCGTAAACACCCAGATCCATGGGGTTTTTTGCAAGCCTTTAACATAAAAGTTTTGGGTCCCCACTATGTGCCAGGCGTGTATATACACATCCACACCAGTGCAGCAAGCATCCCCCAGAGGGCTGGTCTCAGGCCTCACCTGCCTTCAGGATAACACCTGCAGAGGTCCCACCCCCGAGGGCACCACAGCCCTCCAGCGCTTTAGTTTTGACTTGGCAAGCCAGGGACACCCTTGAGTCTTTCTGCTTGAAAAACATCAGGCTCAACCTCCGACCGGTAAACTTACATTAGCCACAGATGACTTACTGCTCATTTCCCAGCTGAGGGGCCCGCCCGCCTGTGAGGCGCCCATGTCACATTCTGTTTTGAGGCGACTTTACAGTGTGCACTGGTAGGTTCTATCCAAACGCAGAAAGACAATGATGACCAAGGCGCCACGGTCCTCAGTTCTCCGCCTTCGACATCAAAGTTCAGTTAGAAGGCTTAGGCTCCCGCCGGAGGTGTGCCTCTGGCTTTCTGTGTATCTGAGAAATGTGACTGTTTCCCGTGAAGTCCAAGGCATTGTCATCTGCTTGATTTGTGCCTCCATTTCTCAAGCACCTACTGTGTGCAAGGCGCCGTGTGGGCTGCTGACGGGTAAGCTGGGGTCCCACTTCTAGGCGCTCCAGCGAGGGGCGTGGCGTGTCCACGATGCTGACTCTGGAGGAAGCAGGAGGCGCAGAGTCTGTCTGCTAAGTAGTCAAACTCAGGGCCAGGGACCGAGGAGCGAGCGAGGCAGAGCCCTGACTCCCTGATGCCAGCCGTCGTTGGTGGAGGGCTCAGTCTGGGCCAGGCACCTTGCCAGACATTTCATGTGCATTTCCAATTAAGTTTTGACAACTCCATGAGTTGCTATCACCGCTTTAGTATTGAAGAAATGGGTTGAAGGAGGGTAAAATCACATCTCAAAGTCAAGTGTGTTTCTAACCAAAGCCTAGAGCCTCACATTGCCTGGAAACAAGTAGGAAAGAATTATTTGAAGAACAAAATTAGCATAAACTGAAGCAAATTGTAATTGCGATGCGAAAAATAGAAGCTATGTTCAGAGACCTATTTGTTAGCAAATCAAACACTTACTAAAGCAAAGCCAGGCGGCTGGGTGCCTCCCAAGTTCAGCGCGCCCATTCTGATATCCGTGGGATGAACTCCGCCGACATGCGAGAGCCCTAACTGCAGCTGTGGCTGCAGCAGGTGAGTCAAGTGGCCTGGGTTTCACGAAGTGGCCGGACTCAGTCCCTCCTGTTGTGTTTCAGAGACCCCACTGGCGTTTACTAGCGCACCAGGCTGTGCGGTTATGACAGACCTGAAGGCTAAGGAGGCCAGCGAGCTCACCCCAGAGGGATTTCCAGAGGTTCACCTCATTTCCCAAGATCCTTTGCACTACAGCATCGCCTCAGCACCAGCCATTCGGAAGATCCGCGAACTGGAAGCTATAATTGGCATAGACCCAGGTAAGGCACAGAGCATCCACACCTTGATAGTTAGAGAAATTTCTGAATAGCTAGAGAAACTTCTCACTGGTGTGATGCACAGTGGAAAAGGCAGCTCGCAAGTTAATCTACAGTATGACTTATTTTTACTGTTTAAAATACTGATGGTGGTGAGCCACAGATGGGATTAGAGGTGATTTTTGTTTCGTTTATTTGTTTGTTTTCCAAATTTTCAGCACTAGTCGTGTGAGGGGGAGGTGAGCTTATTAGCTAGGCATGCGGCCACCTGAACCGGATTGGGCTAGTAGTGGAAGGAAAAAAGGGAGTCTGGGTCTTAGGTCATCAACTGCCGGAATTTAAAAAGTTCCCCATTATTGTGTGAAGCCCCTCCCCGGCCCCCTTTCGTGCCTTTGCCCTGGGGTTGGGTGTGGAACAGATTTTTGGGTACCAGTCCGCTGGCTGGGTTGGGGGACAGGATTGCTGCTCCTTGGATGATACGGGGGCCGGCCCAGGACCCCGAGGCTGACATGTAAATTGTGCCTTGCCTCTCAGAAAGCACAGCCCCCCTGAACCCGGGGCAGGGCAGGATAGGGTTCGCAGGAGCCAGCCCGTTTCAATGAGATTTGCTGACCGCTGGTTGAAGGCTTTGCGCTTCAGTCCTAGCAGAGGACAGCAGAGGGCGCTGTTGTGCATGGCAAATGCTGCCCACTTGCTGGCTCTGAAGAGAATTGGGGTACAGAGGCACAGTTGCTCCTTCACCCCCAAAGTTTTCATGTCAGTCAGTGTAACAGGAGGATCAGCCATACCGCCCTGCCAGGCTCGTGATAGGTGATAAGAATAACTCCAGTTGAGTTTTACAGTTAGCATAAATCTAGCTTCGTTGTCGGTCAGCAGCGTGCTAAGCCCACGAGCACACATTTCATCTGGTTAAATTCTCCCGAAGACCCACGGAGGCATCTGCCACTGACCTGGCTAAACAGCGATGCGACACAGGGGTCAGGGAGCTCGCCCAGCTCCACATACTCAGCGGACATCAGCAGAGCCTGAACCCGTGAGCACTCACGGGCCCACGGCCGGTGAGCGCTGGGTACACTGGACTCGCGGGCGAAATGTCCACCGCTGCCTGGGCTGGGCGGGTGTTCTGGCCTCGCCTGCTCAGGCCCATTCGGCTTCTGCACCTTCTTGTGCGCTGTGGTTCTAGGCCAGGGCCTAGGATGCCCTCGTGGCTTGTGTGCCTGGAGAAGGCAGATGTGGCTTCCTGCTGCCCCTCGGCCCCACCCCGAGCGCCTCCCATGCAGATTCCTGGGTGATGGTGGTGGGAGAGCAGAGGGCGAGGCCAGACTCCCGGGACCCAGACAGGCTGATGGCGACCGGCCAGCCCAAATCAGCCCCCAGACCAGCCTGAAGAAGGTGTGCTCTCGCCCCTGGGCCTGGGGGCAAAGGTCGTCCCCTAAGGACATGGGAGTCTGTAGCAGCAGAACTTCTGCAAACACACTTCATGCTTGTTTTGTACGTGAAGCTGTCCGGTCATTCATTCAGTCTGCAGAGATTCAATTTTCCTTTACTCACAAACACACAGTGCATTGGGACAGACACCCGCCTTCTCAGACTCGCCTCCCTCCAGGCAGAAGCCACGTCTGTATGGGAATAGGTCTCCCGGCAGGCTCAAAACTATCTGCGATCCTCTCCCCTCCCAGTCTCCCCCGGGCTGACTCTCCCACTCAGCGCAAGGATGGTGAGGGTGAGCTAGTAACGCTGCCATTAGGTTAGGTTAAAAAGTAACTCGAGGCCCTCCCTGGTGGCGCAGCAGGTTAGGACACGGCTCTGCAAGCTGGTGCAGCCACTACAGTGCAAGTTCAAGCCCCAGCCCCGGAGCTGACCCACAGGGCACCGCAGACCTCTCCTGACCCGCCCGCTGCTCCCCTCAGCAGTGTACTTCCTCCATCTCCCTGTCCTGCCCCCCACTCTGTCTCTGGTGAAGCCTCTCACCCCCTCTGTACCTCTGGCTTGTACCCAGATCTGTGTGCATAAATAAATCTTTTCTTAAAAAAAGTAACTTGAAGAAAATTTACTGCAGACACAGAGCACCCACTGCTGAATTAAATGTGGGAGAACGTGCCCCTCCCTCTTCCATGCTTGTGTCCAGACTCGAAGCATGAGACTGAGGGGAGGGCAGCCACACCTGCCCAGAGGTGCCAGTGGCATGTATTAAGGGACACATTTCACCCCAAGAACAGCACTGGCTTTTGAGTCCCGCTTCATTACATACGCAGATACGAGGGTCACTTTGGTGCGCTGCCCCAAAGTGCCCTCTGGGCACGAGCACAGTGCGCTTTTGAGGGGTGCTGGCTGGCTTTGCACACCCGGAGAGAGAAGGGAGGCAGGGTGATGAGGATGATGACGATGTTTGCACTAGTGATAAAAGTATCGGCAGCTTTAAGGTTATCAAAGTTCTCTCCTCCTCCTCTCTGTTGGCGCCCACCACATCCTAGGAAAATAGGTGATATTCCTATTATTTTTCTGTAAAAGCATTGCTATGCTTCTCCCTTAATCAACAGTAATTCATCTCCACTAGAAGCACCAAAAAGATTGGCAAGAAGCGATGGACATTACCAGAATCCTATGCCAACCAACTGTAATTAACAAGTATGAACAGGTGCTGTTTGCCTGTAATGTCCCCTCCTTCTGCTTTGAGCCTGCAGATGAAGCACCTGTTATCACCTGACCATCTACCTGTCATCTGTCTCCCTCTGGCAACTGACAGTCACCCATCATAACCTGTCCTCTCTCTGTCACCTATCCTACTGTGATACTCTTTTAGGTCACTTGCTTCATTTTTCAATATATTGTGAATATCTTTTCATGTCATTAGCCCTTGACATTAGTGCTTGCAAAGAACTCCATTTTACAAGCGACCTGCCTTTCTGTTGACATCCCCTCATTTGATGCTGTAAACAATGCTGCAGTGAAATCCGGCCACAGCTGTGCCTGTGCCTTGGTCTCTCCATTAGGATAAATTCCCAGAGGTCATTGCTGGCTCCCTTAGATTATAAATCTATGGTACGAGTCGCCCCAGACAAGGACTCTGGTCTCCACCCCCACTAGCAGGTGGTCGGGTCCTGACCCACAGCCTCCCTCCACTGGGCCACCCAGGTTCTGTGTAGGAAATCTGAGGTGCAGATCTGTCAGGAGCCAGACCAAGTCTCACGACTGCTGGGCTTGAACACAGGTCTCTAGATTCTAAGTCTGGAGCTCCTTCCTGCTCTGCAAATGCAAGCTGGCCTCCTGTCCTGCCCTTTAGGCCCACTCTCGTCTCAGCCATAGCTGGGCTGTGGGTCTGTCACATCCTGACTCCGCATGAACCTTTGCTCTGAGGTGACCTGAGCATGGACACACTGTACATGAAGAGAATCAGGGAGCAGCCATGCAGCTGGACATCAGATGCTGTGGGTGCCCCAACACGCCCCTGGCTTCTCCTGAGCTGCAGAGGCTGATTCCCAGTACAACAGCCCCCACCTTGGGCTCTGGTGTCTCCGCCGCTCCACCTGCAGACATTCTCGCATCTGCAGAGTCCCGTCCACCAGAGCACAGCCTGGGAGAGCCAGAGAGCTGGCCACCTTCACCAGGCAGGGGACGAGAGCCGATGCATAAATGCCCAGTACCCGGTACCCACAGGACAGTCCTGAGGTGTGTGCACATGGTTTCTTAGAAGACTCCTACAAGGCGGAGACCCAGTTTTCTTGGATTAACTTGCTCCCTCACACCCCCCTTCCTATCTTTTCTTGGCTTTCCTGCCTTTCCCATACAACTGCCTCCATCTTCTGACTTATGTTCTGTGCTCTCAGTTTCTGCTGAAAGGCTTGTCCCCAAGCCTTCACCTTCGGGTCTTCTTTTGGAGAGTCCTCAACTAAAGCATTCCTCTTTACCTTTCTCCTTCTGTATTCCCCTATGCTGTTTAGGGTTTGTTAAAATGTTATAACTAATAACATTTTTTATTAGATGTTTTGTTCCCCAAAGTGCCGCCCTCTCTCACTCACTTGTCCAGGTGGGTCTTTTCCACCTGTTTTCAACAGAAAGGAAAACCAAACCACCCACTCACTCAGGGACCGGGAGCTTGGCCATCCATCCTGGGACCACCAGGGGGCGCTAGCGTCAGTAGCCCAGTCTTCAAGGAGGTTGAGGGTGGACAGCAGGGCCTGCAGGTGGCTGGCAGCATTCCACTCACCCTTCCCCTCACCCTAGTCCCATAACCACACCTGAGCAGGTGTGTAACTCTGCTTACTCCTGGGTGGGGGCTGGAGTTGGGAGAAGGAATGCATTCTGGTGAACAATTAGCCATCTCTGCCCCATCCCTCAAATCCACATCTAAAACAAAAACCCAAACTACTGTTTGCCTGAGTCTCTACTTATTTTGATTCTATTTCTGTTGACTGATTTAGGCAACCGGGGGATCGGGCACCTCCTCTGTAAAGACGAGCTGCTGAGGGCCTCTCTCTCACTGTCCCACGCCCGCTCCGTGCTCATCACCACCGGCTTCCCCACACATTTCAAGCACGAGCCTCCGGAAGAGACCGATGGGCCACCTGGAGCCTTTGCCCTGGCCGCCTTCCTGCAGGCCTTGGAGAAGGAGGTCTCCATGGTTGTTGACCGAAGAGCCTTGAGTTTGTACGAGAAGCTTGTTGAAGAGGCCCTTGAGCACGGTGAGCAATGAGATGACATTGCGCGCTCCATTTCCCCCAAAGGGACCTTCGTGGGCAGAGGGTGGTGGGAATGTCACCGAGAGAGGTGAGCTAGTGCCCTGCTTCCTGGTGGGGCTGAGGCCGATTCCTCGAGCAGTGACAATGTGCCCACCCTCTGTGGGCGTTTCCACCCCCCAGCCTCACTCTCCCTGTCCCCTGCCTCCTGAATCACCTCCCGGATCAACCGCAGGCACCCAGGTCTTTTCTGCAGGTTGGCTCCAGGGGACTCCAGTCAGGTGAATGGTCAGGTGGAGATTTGAGGCCAGCTCAGTCTAGATTTTGCATGTTTTCCAAGTGGCTTGGATGTAGGGATGTGACGGGAGAACTGGGGGCTGGCCTGGATGGGCACAGCCGGGGGGTAGAGTTGCCATGAACTGGGGCAGGGACGACCTCGGTGGAGGAGGCTCAGAGGATAAATCAGGAGCATGGGCTGACCTTGCTGGGGATGCATAATGGGAGGGCCGCGGCGGGATAGCAGTGCCTCAAAAAAGAAAAATAGGAAATGCAATGTGATTCAGCAATTCCACTTCTAGGTATTTGCCCAAAAGAACTGAAAGCAGGGGCTTGCGCAGATGTCTGCGGCTCATGGGAGTAATGCTGCTGGAGCCAAGAGCACAAGAAGGAAGTGACCAGATGCCCCGGGTGGGGGGATGTGGGGGCTCTGGCATGCAGGGAAACACTTTTCAACCTAACGGGCCATTCTGACATCTGCTCCTCACGAAGGAAGCTTGAAGACAGCAGACTTAGGTGAAATAAGTGTCACCAAGGAACAAACACATCTCCGCTTGTATCTGGTCCCTAGAGTAAGTGAAATCGTAGGGACAGAAGTGGGGGTCGCCAGGGAGAGGGGTGCGGGGGATGGGAGTCAGTGTTTAGCGGGTGCCGAGTGTTCATTTGAAATAGCCAAAGGGAGCAGGTCTGAGGCTGCCTCGTGTGAGATGCGCACGGGGAAGTGAAGCAGTTAGTTCCATGAGTCACGTTTGGGGGAACAGCCCGGGCTGGAAAGAGAGACCAGCAAGGGAACAGCACGTCGATGGCCTTGACGGCCAAGACTCTGGGTGAGCCACCCAGGGGACGGGGGGTTGCGCCCTGGGACACTCCGCACAGAGATGTTGTGGAGAAGGGGGTGCATCAGCCAGGGAGAGGAGGAGGAGGACACGCAGGCTACCGTGTGGTCAGGAAGGAAGCTGGCCAGCCCAGCCCACCGTGCCAGCAGCCGGCAGCCGCTCCCACCTGACAGCGGGCGGGCACGTGGGTATTTTTAGACGCTCATTTTCCCAGAAGTTGCCCTGCCCTTCCTGCTCACCTGACCTCAGGCCAGTGTGGGGCTCACCCACACTGTGGCTGAGAGGGTGGCATTTGCCGGGCTGGATTCGACAGAACTTTTATGCCGTGTGGATGAAGAAAATAGAAGCGATGTGGCTTTACATGAACGTTAGTTCAGTTCTTTTTATAGCTCAAGGCCTGGAAAGGTTTCAAGAAGAAAGGTTCAGGCATTTCTTCCCTTCTAAGGGCCCGCGCTGTCCAGGTTGATGACTCGGTCTGTGGGACTCACTGGTCTCCCCCTGAGCTCCTGGGGTGCACTGCGCTGTGACAGCTGAGACAGCCAGGGCCTCTCCTGGCTGTTCTAGAACAGCCTGGGTGGGGGGGGGGGCGGGCAGGGAGAGGGCAGTGGGAACAGGTGAGACCTTGGGCAGGGCGGGAGTCCCGACGGCACCGTAAACTTGCCTTTGCCCGCTTGGCACCCTGGCCTCAGTTCGCCTGCCCTGTAGAGTGGAGAGTTGGGTGGAATGGAATGGGCGTGCAGGGCGGGTGTTGACAGAGGCCAGGCCAGGCAGAGGCTCGTTGGCCAGGCCTGGTGTTGCTGACACCTGCTGCCAGTCCCGCCACCCCCACCAGCCCTTGGGTTTTTCTTCTGTCTTGCTTCCTAGTAAAGCGTTCAAAGATGATAGTGATATTTCCAGGGAAGTTTTTTGCCAAGGCACCTTGACCCCCCAAATTCCCCATGAGGGCTGACGTGTCCCCTGCGCTTTATCTCCCAGGTGTTCTGAACACGCCGATCACACTAGTAACTTACCAGGGCGGATCAGCCGGAGCTGCTCAGGCGTTTCTATGCAAAGACGGGGACCCCGGGTCACCCAGGTACGTGCGCTGCAGCCCGGAGGGTGACTGCGTGAAGCCCACGAGCCATAACCTTGACAACACGGTGTGTGCACAACTGTCCCCCAGGGGAGCTAAGCCACAACCCCAGCTGGGGGGCTGCGAGGTGCCCCCGGACCCACAGGTCAGGAGTCACAGCTCCCGGGGAGACGGCATCTTCCCACCGGAGGGGGGAGATAGGAAAATTACTTTTGAAAAGAAACAAGAAAAACTAAGTTTCACAAACTGGACAGAGAAACCTGTCACAGGGAGAGCCCAGCACCCTCAGAGGCGGGACAGAAGCCGCGTTGTCTATGACGTGCAGAGGGCGGGTGCAGGGGAAGCCTGGTGTGTGTGGTTTTCGCTGTGCTGTGTGCAAGCAGCTTTTAAAATGCTATGTCGGGATGTAGTTCAGATGTTATAATTCTTAATACGGCTGTTTGCAACCTGCTCTGTTCTACTCTGCTCAACTCTTCGGGAAAGGTTGACCTGGCCTAATGCATTTCACAAGCCATAAGGAGCGTCACTGAGAACTCTAAAACGCTGCCTCGTCGACTGGCAGGTGTCGCTGGTCGCAGCCCACGGCAGTCTGGCGGGGGCACTGAGTCGCCAAGGAGAAGTCCGATGGGGACCTGAGCAGCCATTTGAAGCTGTCGCACATGTGGGGCGCACAAGAACCCTCTATATTCCCCGAGTGCTGGCATAAGTTTAGCACTGGCTCCTTGTGAAGAAACTAGGAAATTTTCATGGGAGGGACCCTAATGTCAGGTGAGGCAGATGCTCTCCTGCCTGCTGCCTAGTGCGGGGAGCCAGAACCAGTTGTGGGAGGGGACCGCCCCGAGAAGATGCATGAACCCTGCCAGCAGTGGCCTGCGGCCAGCCTCGGGAAATGCGCCTCGGCCTGAAACCAGCCGCCTCCAGGTCGCGGGGGCCGGTGTGGGGGTCAGTGCTCCCCCCAGAGCACAGGGCCCCCAGCCCACCTGTCTGCCTTCCCTGCCCCCTGACACGGGTCTAGAGAAACTCTGGTGGACTCTCTTCCCCCCATTGGTTCTGCTCTCCAGTGGCTGCCTGCCCCTCCCTGGGGGTGCAGCCTCAGGATACCCCTCCATCCCCCACTGAGCAGCCAGCCCAGGTCTGGCACCGTGACACCACCGGGTGCCAGCACAGCCAGGCTCTGTGGACAGGCAAGTGAGTCTCTGTTCTGAAACATCAAGTCCACAAAAAACACCCAGAGTCCAGACATTTTTGTTGTTGTAAAACAGACATAACATAAAATTCTCCAGTTTAGCCACTTTAAAGTACATCCACAGTGTTGTGTCACCAACATCAACATTCATTTCCAGAACTTTATCATCTTCCCCAAGGGGCTCTGTTACCGTTATTAAACAGTAAACTCCCTGCTACTCTCTTCCCCCGCCCTGGCAACACCCTCCTACTTCGTTTCTGTGAGTCTGGTGATTCTAGTACTTTATAAAATGAAAGCCTGTAGCCTTGTGACCTCTCACCTGGCTTCTTTCTCTTGGCACAAAATCTTGGCAGTGCATCCAAGCTGAAGCCTGTATCAGAATATCCTTCCTTTTAAGGGCTGAGTAATATTCCATGGTATGGATGACATTTGTTGCCTATTCATCCATCGCTGGGCACTTGGGCTCCTTCCACCTCTTGTCTCTGTGAGCAATGCTGCTCTGAACATGGGGGTACAAATATCCCCCTGGAGACCGCGATTTCAGTTCTTTCAAGTATAAACCCAGAGGTGGGATCACTGGATCCTTAGGTAATTCTTTTTAAATTTTGGAGTAACCACTCTCATTTCTCCAAGCAGACTTGAGATTTTGAAGAATTCCATTGAGGGGGGATATAAAGGACTATCAAAGGGTACAGTTCATGCTCTTAAATTGGCTTATCAAGTAGTGCTCCTCTCCATCACCACACAGCCAACCCAGCAGGGAGCCAGAAGCTTGCAGGGAGCCAACCCAGCAGGGAGGGGCTGAGTCCTGGGTGGGTGCCGGGCTCTGCTCTGAGCCACATATCTCATTTCTTTCAACCCTTTCGACAGCGTGGGAGACAGATCCTGCAGTTAGGCCAGCAGATAGGTGTCGAAGGTGAGGCCGGCGAGGTAGCAACTCCCCAAGGCTCTTGGCAAGAAGACCTGGAAGCCTAAACCGCACCACCGAATTCACAGCACCACCCTCACCGTCTAAAGAAGCTTCTCTTGCCTTGGGTTTATTCATTTCCTATTTCAAATCCATGTTAGTCTATTTGTGTCTGTAAAGTGAACATGATCTGGGAGGAGGCGGCCGTGTGCTGACAGCAGCCAATGTTCAAACTACCGGAGCTGGTTACTGTGCCGTGACGGAGGTTTGGGGGCTCCAGCAGCGTCCCCCACGGCGACCTGACCACGGCCTTCCTGCTTCCCCAGCCTGAGTCTAATAAGTTGTAAAGACTCGGAGACTATTTTTGAAACTGCTGTGACACGCGAGCCCTCCACGGAGGTCAGGGCACCTGGGTATTCAGCCAAGTCCTGTAGAATGAGGAATCAGAGCGCCCAGGGCTCTGATTTGCCCCACGGCAGCGGCTCGCTCCAGGGACCTGTGCCCTCGCTTCTGGCAGGTTCGACCACCTGGTGGCCATTGAGCGTACGGGCCGGGCAGCCGACGGGAACCATTACAACGCGAGAAAGGTGAACATCAAGCACCTGGCCGACCCCATCGACGACCTTTTCCTTGCAGCGCAGAAGATTCCTGGCATCTCAACCACAGGTAAGTTGCGGGCACTGAGACTGAGCTGGAACCTGCCAGCCCTAAACATCGTCTTTTTAGAGACTGTTGAACACGTGACAGGAAGGAATTAGGGGCAGCCGTGGCTTCCCCTCCAGAGAGGGCCTTTGTTTCTTATGGCCGGTGTAGACGTGACAGATACCACCCCTTAGTAACACCCCCACAGCAAGAAAGGGAAATGACACTTAACTGGGTATGTTCTGTTTGCCCAACTCTTAAAAAAAATCACAAGTAATGACGTAACAGCGATTGTAACATGCAGACGTCGTATTCCAGGCACGCAGGGTGAGTGTCTTTGTACCGTCTCAGGAAGCCTATTAATTTTTAAATATATCTTAAACACGTGATTAGTGCAATAGGTTATTAATGATGTAATAGTGTGGTCGCTTGTGTTTGTACAGAGCATTATCAAAGAGGTTTTGCACCCTCGTACTGCTGAAAGTCCTGTAAGTGGCGAAGGCAGGTATCAGTCCCCACCTGGCCCAGGCTCCTCGAAGTGCCCCCCTACTTAGCCTTGCTGGAGGGACAGGGGTGGAGGGACAGGTCTCAGGGGTGCCCTGAGACCCTGCAGCCTCTATGGATCTCTGACAGGCTCCCGGGAGAGCTGGCCTTCCCCCACAGTGTCAGGAGCGGCATCGTTAGACTTGTTTGGCTTCTGTGTTTACTTGTTCTCTCCATTCAGACACTTCAGTTTCCCCAAACTCATTAGATGCCTTTGGCCTTTGAGGTTTTGATGAGACAATGAAAGTTTTCTGGTTGATTAGGAAATTTCTGCAAATTGCTCTGGTCTTTCCCAGAAAGGCATGGCACCCCGGTCTGCTGGCTGGCTCAGCTTCTTGTCTCCTGGGGCTGGCATGGAGGGTGGACAGTGAAGGGGTCTGCAGCGCTCGGGGCACTCAGGGCTGCTGGACACAAGTGCTGTCCACCCACAGTCCTGCTCTGTGCAGATCCCAGAGGAAGTGCCAGTGCTGACAGCTGGCGGCTTCCACCTGCCCGCCTGGAGGACTCCTGTCCTCTCCTGGGCTCCCGACTCATGCGCTCCTTTCCTGCCTCATCTTCATCGAAACCTGCCCAGCAGCTTCCACAGGCCGCTGTCCCGTCATGGACAAGGCACTCCGCTGGGAATCTAGATGCCCGCCATTGACGGGACCCGCGTAGGGACTTGCGGGCTGTGTTCATGCAGCTGAGGCCCTACGCAGGCCTGTCCTGAGGAAGGAGAAGCGGGAGTTTATAAAATGCTGAAGAGCAGAGACAGGAGTAGGCAGAATTCCACTCAGTGGGCTGCCTGGACCTGCGGGACTGACCTGAGAACTCCTCAGCGTGTGGCCCTAAGGCGGGTGGCCATTCACCTTTTGTCCGAGTGCAGTCTAGGATGCTCGAGACGGGTCAATGCTAGGTCCCTGGGCCTCCGGGTCCCGGTGACCACCAGCCACTTACATTCCAGCACCCCTGGGGTGCTGTGACCTGAGGCATTTGGACAAGCACTTCGGTCACCTTGAGGCAACTGCTATTACCCACAGGCAGATTCAACTGAACTCTGTGGAATGCTCGGAAATACCCGGACATAGGGCCAGAGCTGCTCCTCAGAGACACAGGCTGCTTCTCATCCTCTAATTAGGGCAGAAGTGCCATTAATGATTTCCAGCCCGTCTGCCTATCTTCCGCACTCTCCATGTCTCCTGAGCTTAGCGTCTTCTAGCACGCTAGTTAACAGCCCTCTGGTGCCCATTATTGATGGTTGTGTACACCCCTCTTTTTCAAATGGCACCCCCCCACCGACGTGTACTAGGAGGTATCACGTGTTAGCCAGGTGCCACGCTCACGTAAATGAAAATGAACTGACACATGCACATCTCGCATCCTTCAAACAGAAGCCTTACAAGTAAGTCCCAGAACGACTGACGCTCCCTCCCGCCGTGGAAAGCAGTCTGGTCCCACCGGTGGGACTCAGTGGTTTTTGGCAGCATCCTCTCAAGGCAGGTCCTGGATGTCACCACACCTGCTTCTCCTGGGGGCCTGGCACACCCTGCATAAAAGGGCTCCATGTGTATGGAGAACGTGACCCAATAGGGAACGTGCCCAGGTTCTGGTGAGTTCTCAATTTGGGGGTACTTTTAATAAGTTTCTAGAAGACCCAGAGTACAAGCGCAATGTCTGGTTTCTGAAAACGTATCTAGAAACACCTTTCTCCTCCAGGGCCAGGAGGCGCGTGGAGCAGGGTAACCCCTCACCACCCCCATTTGGCCCTGTGCACTGACTCAGTTCCCTTCCCTCTAGGGGTCGGTGACGGAGGCAACGAACTCGGGATGGGCAAAGTCAAGGAGGCCGTGAAGAAGCACATCCGAAATGGGGACGTCATTGCCTGCGACGTGGCGGCTGACTTCGCCGTGATCGCGGGTGAGTGCCTGGGTGGCCGACGGTCAGGCCCTGCAGCTGCCCAGGCAGGAACCGACGTGGCCAAGCGGCAGCTTGTCTATTCTGAGTAGAGTCTGGAGAGCGCCGGGACAAGAGGGGCCCTTAGCTCTTAGCCTCGGCCTCTCATTCAGTCAGTCAACAAACACTGATGGTTCTTTTACCCCACTGTGCCGCCAGGGGGCCCTGCTGGGCCTCTAATTCTCCGCCTTTGACCGTCCTTTTCCCCCAGGTGTTTCCAACTGGGGCGGCTATGCCTTAGCCTGCGGGCTGTACATCCTCAACTCCTGCGAGACCCATGGACGTTACTTGACAAAGGCAATTGGGCCCCCCGGAGCTCCTGGGGCGCACGGCTGGACTCAGGCCCTCCCCTCTGTCACTAAGGTAACAGCCCCCAGCGGGCTCTCCCACTGCACCCCGGGTGAGGAGCAGGCTGGGGTTGCAAAGTAGGACGCTGCTGCCCCTCAAGAGCCAGAGGCAGAGCCCGCCCGGGCAAAGGCCCCTCTCCAGCTGGCGCCGAAGTGGCCAGTTCCTGGCAGTGTCAGGGCGCGAGTGGGCGGAGCTGGGGAGGGTGGGCACTGGCAGCTGAAGGGACATTTTCGGGGACCGGTCTGCACCTGTTGGCCCAGAGGGCCTCTGTGCTTTCTTTGCACTTCCTGGGTCTGGAGTGGAAAGAAGCACTCAGGGCCGCCGCGCACGTGACGCCTGATTCACACAGACACAGAGAAGGAGCCCAGCCAGCCACTTCCCACCGGCCAACACTTACCCTCCGGGGACGGAAAAGTCTCCGGGGACGGAAAAGTCTCCTTTTGCCTTCCCACCCAATTCTTCATGACACGTTAATGCTGTGCTGCCCATGGGAAGCACATCGAGGGGACATTTTGAAAGCAAAAGGATGGATCGCGTGTGTTGAGCGCTTCCTCTGGCCAGGCCCTGCCGGCCCTGAGGGACAGCGAGGGGTGGGTCGTGGCCCCTGGCTTCGGAATGTGGGATCCAGGAGATGACACTCAAAGGTGATTCCAGCAGTGGGAAGAAGTGTGCATGACGGCTGGGGAGAGACAGGAACAGGTGCTTCGTTCATTCAGAGAGTTCAAGGAGGGCTGCCTGGAGGAGGGGGCTGAACTGGGTCTTGGCGGGTGAGTAGGATACTGCTGGCCAGGAAGGAAGGGTGGGAAGGGCATTTCAGGTAGCAGGAGCCACATAAGCAAAGCTCAAGGACATGAAATACAGTGTGAACTGGCGTCATCCCACTGGAGTTCTGGGGACACTCCACGGGTGTCCTGAGATATCAAAAGATGTTGACCAGACAGCCCTGAGCTGGTGGCGAAGCGTGACTGCTTAGGGGCAGAGTCCTTCTTCTCTGTTCTGTGAGTTGCTTGTCACTAAGGCCTCCCAGTTCTGACCGTGACTAGAGCAGGACGAGGCCCCAGGCTGAGGAGTCCAGGCACAGTGGCCCCCACAGGCCAGGTCCATCTGCCTTCCCAGGCCCCTGACCCAGCAGTGTGTCCTGGGGCTTTACTTGAGGGTCAAGCACAGGGCTGGAGAGCATTCCTGAGACTCACCAGGAGCTAAGAGCCCTACAGGAGGGACCCCCACCAGAGGGGCTAAGGTGCTACCTGCAAGCTCAGGTATGAGTGGGCCGGGAGCCTAAGGGCTGTGATCTTGGTCTCCCGGACGCTGCAGGGAACAGCATGGCAGAGCCTGGGTGGGGTGGGAGGGGCTGCAGGTCTCCAACCAGGAGACCCGGGAAAGCTGGCTGGGAGCCACAGAGTGAGCCAGCCGGGCCAGCTCTGTCCTGATGCTGGTCGAGGTTAGGGTCATTTCTTCTGTTTCTGGACACCTCCTGTTCCCAGGATGGAATGCTTTTTAAAAATGCCCAGCCTGTCTTGGGTGAGTGAAGTGGGTGCTTAGGAAAGAAGCAGGCCCAGAGCTTGGCTGCCTGCTCAATCCCAATTCCACCACCTGTGTCTCGAGCTGACCTCCCAACCTCAGCAGTCCTCGGGGCCAGCAAACCAGTGAGTTTGCTCTATGTAAAGGACTTGGTCATGTAGGTTGGGGAAACAGAGGACCCCTTGGTTCACGTGCTCACGGGCAGCCAGAAAGTAAGGGCCCCAAGTGTATAGACTCGTGTCCTTACTTGAGGGCCCAGCCCAGAGAGGGTACTCTGGGAATGCAGGATGGAGGCTCAACGCTAGATGGTTAGATTAATAGTCGGACGGATGGTGGCTGCAGAGGCACAGAGGCAGGATGGTGACTTGTGACCTCATGGTGGGCTCCTATTCTCTTCTAGCACTTTTCTTCATCATTTTTCAATGAGATAGTACAATAGATAAACCTTAAGTGTTAAGATGAAGTTTCACACATGTGCACACCCACGAAGCCACCAACAGGGCTGCGACACAAAACAGTTCCAACACCCCAGGAGGCCCCTTCAGCCCACCCAACCCCGAAAATCAGCCCACCACACTCTCCACATGAACGAATAGCAATCACCCACGCCCCCCACCTCTCGGCCCCGTGGCACCCCGGGATCTCACCCCCCACCCCAATGGGCTGGGCGCAGGTCCCATCCACGCCGTCTCACGGAGGTGATGCACCCCCTTCTGCCGCAAGCCTCGGCCATAACTGGCCTGGAGGCCTCCAGTCACGCCCTGGTCAGTTTCCTCCCCACCCACACATCCCTGGTGGGGCCTCCTGAGGACGTGTGGTCATCCAATGGTTCCTGGAAATGAGAGGGCAGCTCTACTGGCCCAGCTGGTCTTTGTGGCTCTAGAGGCTGGTGCCAGCCACGGCCCATGTTGGTGACTGAGCACGGGCCTCCGGGGCACTGCCCGCGACCCTCCCCGGGTCCTAGTGGATGTGAACAGTGGGAGAGGAAATGGCCCCTTGGTCCCAGAAACATTTCCTCCTCAGGAGAGGATATGACCCGAGGAAGAGAGACGGGAGAACAAACCCAGCAAGGGCGGGAAGTGCCACTCTGGGCTGGGCAGCCCCGGGGACGGAGTTGCTGGCTAAAGAGCTCCCTGGAAATGCCCTGTGTGCTGAGGAAGATGGAGACCAGGCCATGGCCCGCCGAGAGCAGAGACCGGGGGACACTCAACTGTGACTTCTCCATTGTTTTGGAAATTTTTCAGCAGAGTGGGAGGTGGTGGGGGTTGCAGGGTGCCCAGAACCCCTCACTGCTCCTTCCTGCCATTTTGTCATCTGAGGTCATCATTGCCCCCACCCCAAAAGTCGTCCTGAGTCACTCTAGTAAACAGGGTTGGGGCCTTCTGTGAGCAGTGGCCCCTGGGCGGGGTTGCCTGACCCTTGAGGAGACTGAGCTCCTGGGCAGGGACCCTGTGACCCACAGCCCCCCACTTCAGGGCTGGCACTAGCTGGCTCTCGCTAAACATCAAGCCTGAATCTTCCTGTTCTACTCCCTCTCCCTTTGTCCCCTCCTCACTTTGTCTGGCAAGGCGAGGGCAGAGGGAGGATGTGTCCCCCTGGGGCCCTGCAGGCACCCTGCCCTCCTGTGTCTTCACCCTGGGGCCTGTGGTGAAGACAAGTGATTCTTTTATGTTAGGGGGAAAGAAGAGGGGAATCGAAACTCTCCTTAGTTTTTAAATCAACAAGGAAGAAAGTTGTAGGCTGAAGGTCCACCCCAGCCCGTAATACTCAGACTCATTCTGTGTGTACCTACAGTGCGCTTATTTGCACGAGCTCATTCAGTTGCTATACCGTCCTCTGCAGTGCCAGCGCCTTCCTGTTACACACACGAGGGCGCAGAGGTTACAACCCCTGCCGGAAGGACCCACGTCAGCTGTCTGGTCCCGCTGCCTGCTGGGTCCTGGGCCGCGACCTCAGGCTGGGGTTCTGCTCCTTCCGCTGCCCCCACCCACACGGGGTGCTCTCGAAAGTGACACCAGCACGCGTTGGTGCTTTTCTCCTGGGGGGTCAGCGAGGGCTGGGGTCTCGGAGGCACGAGGCCCTCCAGACAGCATCAAAGGCCACTTGCAGGTGGCCGAGGGGGCAGGGAGGGCCCAGGCGGCAGCGGTAGCCACGCTGCACCTGCAGGAGCGCTCGTTAAGGAGACACAGGTGTGCGTGGAAACCTGTGGTGTGGTTAAATGAAGGTAGAAGCAACAGCGGGAACAGCCCGGGGCAGCTGCCTGGGTGGGGGTGGGGCCGATGAAATGGGATGAAGGACGCTGCTGCTGCTCACCTTTTCGTAACCCAAGCTTTAGCTTCTGTAGGTCAAATACGTTTTCTCCACTTATAAACACTTTCTTCTCTGTCTCTCTCCACCCCATTTCTTTTTCTAGGAAGAAAAGATGCTGAGTCTCCTGGTGCGACATGAGGTCCGGAGCGGCGTCACCGGCAACGTGGGCATGGAGGTGGACGGGCTGCCCTTCCACGGCACCCACGCGCAGATGGTCCAGAAGCTGCTGGACACCACCGCGGGCCAGGCCTGACCCCGCCGAGCGCCGTAGCACTGGCACAGACCCGCTCCTGGGCCTGGGGGGGGGGGTCCTCAAGGATCCCCGGCTCCCTCCACAGCAGCAAGTCCTGGCCCCGGGGCAGCGACCACCTCTCCGGGCCTGGGACCCCACACCCCCACTTTCGGGAGGGGACGGGACAGATGCTGCAGCCCAAGGAAGACTTTCCTGTGGCGTTTCAAGTTTTTGCTTTTATTCCTCAAGTGCTGCAGGTGTTGATTTCAAGCTCCCTTCCTCCAGCCACCCCCAGTCTGCTCAGGGTCTCTTCTGACCAGGCATTTAGGGGGTTGCCACTGAGAAATAACTGTCAGGCAGACACAACCGTGGGCTCATCGGGGCTATGAATAACACCCCCAGACTAATTAGGAAATAACAAAATGTACAAATGTGGCGTCACGAATATTATGAAACTCTGGGATTTCACTACCAGTTTACTCACCACCCCACCACCAAAATATTTATACCTTTGAAATGCTCTTTCCAGTCTTTGGTTTACTTAAGATGCCATCGAATCTTCTATTTGTGACTGTTGCCTCTCCCCTGCCCTTCACCCTTCACATGTCCTGACCCCCCACCTCGAAGCCTGCCCTCCCCCCACACCATCTGTTCACCTCCAGCTCTGAGCAGAATGCCTTGGCCTGTCTGCACGGGGGGGGGGGGGGGGGGACAGCCGCACGCCTGGAGTGGGGTTCAGCCAGCATATCTAGACCTAGGACTCACATTGCGCACCCAGACACCCCCGGTCAGGCGTCTTATCTCTTCACAAGTGCCCCGCACACATTTCCCAGTGGAGTCACAAGCCGCAGCTGCCCAGACCACAGCCCACTGCGTGCACACACTGAGGCGGGCCAGCCTGAGCGTGGCGGGCTCACGGGAGGCAGGGGGTGCTGGTGCTTCTGCTTCCCAGCTCGGCCCAAGTGTGTATTGCACCTGCTTAATTTTATTCCCTGAACCATATCCAGCTGGTTCTTCAAAGGGCTCTGGCTGTGCAACACAGCACACACGCACTGAGCAAGCGCCCCAGGCTGGGCAGGTCCGCGGCCGATTCAGGCAGATGGAAAGGGAACTGGGGTACACCCCCGCTGAAGAGGGGACCGGGGCAGGGCAGACCAGCGGGCAGGCAGAAGCCGGGGCTCCCACCCCCCACGATCTCCCGCTTCGCGGCTGGGCGCTTGCATGGCCCGTGCACACACTCCCGAGCGCCTTCCTGCACAACACAGTGCCTCGTGCGGTTCTGAGAGCATTAGGGAACCAGCCACAGGTGGTGGTGCAGAGGCCGTGAGGAAGCCTGAGCAGCTGCGCTCCCTGCACTACAGGAGGGCCCCACCTGTTTGGAGCCCTCACTGCCCCCAGGGCTCTTGGAAACGGCAACTTTAAGCAAAATGACTAAAGAAAAGCAGATCCTCCCATAGTGTGGTTCATCCACAGAGCCCCTTTCACGGCTTTCTTCTCAACAGACTTAGGAAGAAATGTTACCAAAGCCAACTTCTTTTGGGGCTGCAGCCACTCAACAGCACAATATAAAATGGGGTGAAATGCAGTGCTCCCACAGGGTGTGGCGGAGCCCCTGGCCACAAGCAACTGGAGTGGGGTCTGCTCAGATGCACCCTTCCTCCCAAAAAAAAAACATACACAGGCCTTTGGTCCTGTGCCAGGGACTCTGGGCTGAAGCGCCTTTGGTAAAAGCTCCATCCCTCCATCCCTCCAACTGCGACCCCCACAGCTTGGCTAACTGCCTCAGCTCCCCGCTTCGCTAGCCCAGTCTCTCCCCACTACAACTTGTGTCCCGGATTTGGGGCTGCAGAGCTCCCTGTAACGGGGATTTTTGAGAAACACCCTGACATTTTAAACCTTTCTGACTGCATGAAGAATAACATCCGTCTGGTCAAGTTGCCAGCGCTTTTCTGAGTCATGTTTGGGGGAAGAAACTAAAGGTTGCTTTTTTTGCACACTATCCCAGCTAGAGAAGCTTGAGGCCCTTGTGAAAGCTGCCTTCACTGCAGGCAGAAGATTCAATTGTGAAAGAGAAAGAGACCCAGAGAGAACAGAGAAGCTGAGGAGGGGTCTTAGCTCTGGAGTAAGAATGCAAAGCCCTGCCCCCTGCAGAGGTCAAGCCAGAAACCCTGAAGCAGCTGCAAAGTGAAAGGAGGGCTCAGAAAAGACTCCTTAGCAGGGCCCAGTGGTCTCCAGGCTCCTTTATGCTCTTTCATTCCACAGTGATCCCGGGTCAGACCTTCGGGAAGGTTTTGCTCAAGTCCACCCTAGTCTTGCTAGGCTTTGGGGCAGGGCCCGTCTGTGCGGGTGGCCTGGTGAGCACGGCTCCAGCCTGGAGCGGCTGGGCGAGGCGACAGGGTGGAACCTGTCCGGATGGGCGGCCCAGGTGAGAGACAGTTAGCAGCTTTCAGTGTGCCACCGTCCCAGGACAGTTTAGATTCTCGTAGACGAAGAAAATTTGAGAGCCCTTGGTACCATTCTACAGGACTTTAACGCTGAATCAGGAGACAGAGCAGCTGGCAGGGAGACAGCAGCGAAGCCCATGAGCCTCAGAGACGCCGCTGGCCGCCGGTGCTGAGAAGCCCCTTTTATCCCTCCCGCGTCTCAGCCCAGGTGCCGTGCGTGCCCCACGCCCACGCTCCCCGCCCTGGCGTCCACGAGGCCCAGGAGGCGTGCAAAACCACAGGTGGTAGCCATGGGGGAGGCGAAAACAGCCATTTTCCCTATAGCTTTCTACCCAGGTGATTTGTGGGGCATTTCCCAGAATATGGGGTGAAACGTGTTAGAGGTACCTGGGATGCCCTCCGGCTCTCCAAGGGCAGACTGGAAACCTTGGGCACGTCAAGGTGTTCTTGCTCCAGAGACGTTGCAGTTAGGAGCCAGGAAAGTGAGTCAACCACGGGGTCGGGCTCCGCAGACCCCCACTGTCCTCTGGCCACGTACTGCCCCAAGGCTCAGCTGAGCCTGCATCCCTCTGAGTCACCGCCTGCCTGTCACCACCCAAGTCTGGCCTCTCGCCAGCCCCACCTTCGCCCGGCCTCTGCCCATTCCATGTGGCCGCACTGAGTCCATAAAGATGGCTACTTCTCAAACTCAAGGGCCACACTGCTCCGCAGAGATGGGAAGTGCAGCAGTCACGCAGACGCTACATGCCACCGGTTGACGAGCTGGCCGGAAGAGTCACTGCTTTGACAGCAGCAGGCGGATGCAAGACCCCTTCCCCTCTGTTCAGGTCAGACCCCGGCTCCAGACCCCAGAGTTGGAGACGCACACAGGCGCCCCAGGTGTGCCCGAGTGGCAGGCTCGTTACGAACAAGACTGGCTCTCCTGCCCACCCGTGACGACGTGTGTGCCTCTTTTTCCTAATAAATCTGTCCTTTCAAACGTAACCAAACAAAAGATACAAGCCCAAAGTTTTTCCTAATTATCTATCTTCCTAAAAACAGGAAATTGCTGGTGGTCTGGGAGGTGGCAGCCACCCTCGAGTCCAGGCTGGCAACGTCTGTTTCGGATGCCTGCGAAGTTCTTTGTTCTTTTTGTCCCTCCTTCCGTATTGTTCCCTTTCTAGAAACTACAGAATTCACCAAAATGACCAGAAAGGAGAGGGGGTCGATTTCTGTGAGCCTTTCAGCATGTAATTAAAATTTGTCTTTTCTTCTGCTAATCATCTCTCCGTTGTCAGCTTCATTATCTTCCAGCCTACAGACGTAGAAGGTAGAGGAAAATTAGTTCCTTCCCAACTAGCATCGCACTGAAGATGTGGGTTTTATTCCGATGAAGTGCCGGAAGTGACACGAAGGAACAACACAGATGAGCCAGGTGTGCCCCGACTCTGCCCCCTTTTCCTACACACTTGGGAAGACCACCTCTCCCAGCCTCCTTTGCAGTTAGGTTGGCCCTAATGGGCCAATGACTTCTGAGCAGGTCACATCCACTCACTGCTAGACATCTGCCACCTGAAGTCTTGGTCAGCCCCCCTCCACCCCTCCCACCCTCCCGATGATACTCTCTTCAGCTGCTTCCCTACCAGGGTGGATGGAAAGAGAAGTGGAAGGGGCTGAGCGGCCCACACTCAGGAAAAGTCTTGCCAGAAGGCAGCTTCTCGTGGGCTTTACATACATGGGAAATAAACTCTTCTTGTTTTTAAGGAAATGTGATTTGGGGGGTATTTTGTTATTGAAGTATAATCTGCCTTATCTAATACAAGTTTGGAAGGCTCAACACTGCAAAGTAGGAAATGAAAGCTGACTTCAAAGCCCAGAAGGCCGTGACTCCCGTGACCAGAATGAAGGCCAGCGGGAGCAGTGGCTGACTGCACTTTGACTCATTAGTCCAGATTTTTCTGCCCACCCCTGGCATGACCTGTCTGGAAGGTAGCTAATTGGTGTCACTGGATGGCATTTGTAGAAAAACTGGGCCACCATTTTTGAGGGACACACATGGGCTAATTCATGGGGAAAGGAAATTGGATTTCATGACCTCTGCAGTACAGTCTCTGCTGATTCCTAGCGTCTCCTCTACTAATAGCTGAATGAAAGCAAACGGAGTCGAGATCCCACCATTTCTCCAGACCTGGGGCTGTGATGGCCCCAGGGCAAGTGTCACCAAGGGTCACAGTGTTGCTATCAATGAATTCCTGGAGCCCGCAGGAGCCCAGCCGCCAGAAGTGCGGTGGGTGTGGGATGAACCCAGAAGCACTGAAGCAACTGCACAAGGTCTGCTACCAGCCAGCAGATGGGAGTGCAGTGTGTCCTGAAAATGTCTCCTGCTCTTGTCTGGCCCAGCCACAGAGGAGCCAGGAAGATGAGTCCCACTCTTGCTAAACCACACTGTTGAATAAGAAAGAAATGTAATGGCTTCTGTCGCCGCCGTCCAAACCAAATGGACCTTCCCTTCCACCCATTCTCTCAGGAGAGGGGTCTTAATCTCCAAAAGTGTCCTGACTTAGTCTATTTGGAAGAGGATGGTGTCCCCTGGAACACTCCAGAGAGGGGTTAAGTGAGCAAAACCAAATTTACGTTTTACAATGATGCAGTTAATCCTTAGTGATAAACAGGAGCCTGTCGACATGAAGCCTACTGCTGTCTGGAAGATTGATCAGCAAATGTGGTCTCCCCAAACATAAGCCAGGCACTGAGGCTACCCGCCAAGAGCTGAGTGCAACCAGCCCCTGCTCTGGCTAAGGAGGGAAGTTTTCACCAAGCCGTCTTCTGATGCAATGCAGACAGTTACTCAGCAGACAGACGGGGCTGTGAGTCCAAGAACAGAGGACGTGACCTTCTCCAAGCCACGGGCCCAGCCTCTGTTCTCGAGCAGGAGGCCAAGGCCCAGAGTGAATTTGCAACGAGTCTCAGAGCTGATGTCTCCTCAGAATTCTCAAGAGGAGGGAGAGAGGATCCACCCTGCTTCACCAAAAGGCCTCAGCCTTCTCGGCCAGTGCTGGGTGATCAAGGGCAAACCTTAATTGCTTGGTCCGGGTTTTCTGAGGTGATGCTGGACCTTCCTGACAACTTTGTGTGTCTGAAGAGCCCCCCAGTGTTGGAAGACCCTCCTCCCAACAAGGACTGCAGCACACTCCAGGGGGGGGCCGGTTACATTGCTTTATTTCAGACTCAAGTTTGCTACGTAAATTGCACAATCTAACACACGCAAACTTGGAATCAAAGAGAGGACAGTACAAAAATACAACTCTTGAGAGTAAATGGAACCGCCCTTAGTTTATCCCTGTCCATCCCAGTGGGAACACCCACATTTAAGGTTACAATAGGAGGAAATACTGTGGAATGAGGAAGCTTGGGGGGCTCGGCGGTCGCTCCAGTAAGATCCCTGGCTCAGCATGGTCTGTGCTTTTCACTGTGGCTATTTCTGCACCTTCAGACCTGATCCCTTCCTCCTGCAGGGAAGTTCCCAGGTTATCAGAAGTGCCTGTAGGAGCTGGGCCACAGGCTGCCCAGTCAGTGCCAAGTGTGCGCTGGGACCCCAGTAACCTTACTTTCCTGGGGTACATCCAGCCTGGGTTACTGGGTTATGTACCTCTGGGGAACACTGAGTGGAGGGTTAAGAAACTCGGGGTAGATCTAGCTCTTCGGGAAGGGAAAAGGGAGGAGGAGGGAGGTTGAGGAAGAGCTTGGACCCTGCTTTTAGTAGATGCCAGCTTCTCCCTCCCTGTACCTGGTCCCTCCTCAGGATCAATCCCACCCAATCCCTTGGTGGTGAGGAGCTCAAACCCCAGGACTTTGCGGGAGGTCGGAGCTGCCCCAGCCCACGAGTCAGGAAAGCTGTGAAGCTGGCCGGGAGGTCTCCTGAGGTACAAGCAGCTCTTCTACTCCTTGGTTGTTCACCGGAGTGGGGGCTCTACACGGGCAACCGTGCATTTGTCGGAGAGATGAGCCTATCCCTTCCAGGACATAGTGAAAGATGGCGGCCAGCACCTCGGCATCACGGCCCATGGCCACGTCACCGTCGGGTGGGCGAGGTGGGACAGCTCTGCAGAGGGGCAGGCTGGCGAACAATGGGGAGAGGTGACCCAGGCAGCCCTTTCCTGTCCCAGGGGCTCTTGAGGCCATAGTGGAATGGAACCCCAGGCCCTTGGGCGAGAGATGCCCGAGTGTGCATCTCTGATGTGTTTGTTTTACTGTGTCTGGAAACTCCCGGAGAAAGTCATGCTTCTCCAAGATGCAGAAATACTCCAGAGGCTGGGGTGGACACAACCAGCGGTCATGTAACCCTAGCTTCTGTGTCTTGGCACATGGCTGTCATGGACTCCTGGCATTTTAACCATGTGCACACACACACACATACCAGACTTCTGGGCCTTTTGCTTCTGGGCAGATGCAAACAGATCTGTGTAACGAACCCCACTCGACACTGTCTCTGGGCCCCTGTCCTGACCCTTGAGTGCCACTGGCCCTGGTACTCCAGGGCTTGAGGCATCTACTCTCTCTGTGAAATGGCTGGAGCAGGGTCTCTCCTGCTTGTCACTCTCCTCCCCTGCCCTGCCCAACCCCGTCCTCCCAATGCCCAAAGGTCTCCCCACCGCTCCTCCCCCTCCAACCTCCTAACTCTGCTCATCTCCCTTCCCACCCTGTGTGGGATGGGTCTCCAGTGTTAGTGAAGACAGCTCAGCCTCCCCTCCTCAGACCACACGACTTCAGGCCAGGTGCCAGGTGTGCCAACACGGCATGGGAAGGCCCAGCAGGTGTGCGCTCAGGTCCCCACCCTCCTCTCCCGATCTCCCATACTGAGGCCCCTCAGTCCATGCCCCTCCCCCCAGCTCCTTCCTGACCACTTCCGGGAGGAAGTTACTCCACCACGTTCCCCCACCAGCAGCCTGGCCGGCAGCAGACGACTCCCACGAGCTGACGGGGCTGAGGCTAACACCTTCGGGGCTCAGCAAGCTAAGGCAGGCTCCCTGCACCTAGAGGGGTCTTGCTGGGGCCTAGGCCCGCGGCTCCCTCCAGCAGAAGAGCCACCTCTGTCTGGTGGCAAAGCAGGTGAGCAAGCCCGGACAGAGCTCCACCCCGCCAGGGGTGACCCCCCCCGCTAGGCCAGCGCCCCCGCGGGGGGCCCTCCCAGTGCGGGCGAGCTAGGGGGCTGGAAGGCTGCGTGGAGCTTGGTCAACAGCTCGGGCTCCTCGGTCTTCCCCGAGGCCTCCTGGGCCCGGCCGGTCCTGGAGCAGGTGAGGAAGGCCCAGCAGGCCCCGCAGAGGCGGGCCAGGTCCCTGTGGGTGGTCTCGCTGACGAAGCAGTAGAGCACGGGGTCGGCCACGCAGTTGAAGCTGGTGAGGAGGAGGGAGAAGTGGTAGGCGTTGAAGATGCCCTTGGCGAAGTCGCAGGTGTATTCCCAGAGGCTGCGCACGAGCAGCAGCACGTGGTAGGGCAGGAAGCAGGCCAGGAAGATGACCACCGTGCTGAGCACCAGCCGCTGGATCTGGTCCTTGCGGCTCTTCTGGGTGCCGTGGCTGCGGCGCACGGCCCGTAGGATGCCCTGGTAGGAGACCAGCAGCAGGCAGATGGGGAAGAGGAAGCCCACCAGGAAGCGGTAGTAGTTGATGCCCCGCTGCCACTGCTGCAGCGGGTAGTGCTCGAAGCACAGCCGGTGCCGGTCCTCGTCCACCGCCACCTCCTGGTGCAGCAGGAAGTAGACACTGGCCAGCAGCTCCTTGGCCCAGATGACCACGCTGACGCCCACGGCCGCCTTCAGGGTGCGGAACTGGTGGAAGCGGAAGGGGTGGGCCACGGCCAGGTAGCGGTCGACGGAGATGCAGCAGAGGAAGCCCACGCTGATGTAGATGTTCTCGTACAGGAGGATGCCGCACACCTGGCAGGACAGGTCGCCGTGCGACCAGTGGTCATGCTGCAGCACGTACTGCAGCCAGAAGGGGAGCGAGCAGATGTACAAGAGGTCGGCCACCGTCAGGTTGCACAGGTACACGCCCAGCTCGTTCCGGGCCTTGACCTGCAGGTAGCCGAAGTACAGGGCCAGGCAGTTGGCCGGGAAGCCCACTGCCAGCACGGTGACGTAGACCACCGGGGCCAGCGTCTGGTGGATGGTGTGGTCGATGGCACAGGTGGGCAGCGAGGCGTTGTCGCCAGTGACGTTCCCCATCTTCGGGCCTGGGGGGCCGTCATGGGCTCAGGGAGAGGGCCTGTCTCTCTCCGGCCATCTTGCTTGGGCGGGAGCAGGTCCAGCTGTGCTTCCTGGGTACCGGGGGAGGCCCTGAAAGTCAGAAGCGGGGAAGGTTTAGAATTACAGGAGCGAACATTTCCCCAGCGCCTCCTGGGTGTCAGGTTCTGATTGAGAAGATGATGCAGCCAGGTCCTCTGATGGGTCACGCACCGAGACCCTCCAGGAGGCTCGTGTCACCCCGTGTCTCTTCCCTGGCTTCCAAAGTTCCCTTATTTAATTTCTTGGCCTCTCAGTGCAGCGAGCTCTCGTGAGCACCTGCTGAGCTCTCCAAGGAGAGCTGGAGGGGAAGATCAATTCCAAACCAGCAAGGGCCCCCCCCACTCTCTTCCAGAGCACGAGTGTCCCTCACACCTGCACAAGGGAATGTACCAGGTGGGCCAGCAAGGGACTCACCACGTAGCACAGGCAGGCCCGACCCTGTCCAAATCCTGCTGCGCTCTGGTAAGAAACAAAGGCAAAGTTTCCACAGGCACTGCCTGGGCTCTTGGGGCTCCTCAGCAGGCTCCCCATCTCCTCTGCTCTTTGGGATCTTGGGGACCCAGGACGGGGGACAGGACAGGATCAGGGACCCACAGACATGAACACCAGGCAGAGGGTCAGCTGCT